CTAAACCACTGTAAGAGTCTAGGACAAGTATTTTGGAAAGGAGATCTATGGTGCTTTTTTAACCCTTTCCATGCAAATGGGGTAGACCTCTATTTTCCACACTTGCCAAAGAACATCAGTTTGGAGTAGAAGACAACAAGCAGAACTACCCAATACAAATTGTTGATCTACTCATGTTGGATAGTTTTCATTTTACTCTCTAGATCTAGCACAGATAGGTTCCTCTTACATTGTAGACTAACTACAAGTTGGTTTGCCTGATGGAAGGGAGGGGATGAAGAACTCCTTCCTGCCCTGTTGCTGGGAAGTAGCTGCTTCCCTTTCTCAATCATCATGGCTCCTATTGGAGGGCATCTTCTACATCTCTCACTGGGTTCCAGTAACTGCTTCTCCCTTGTTTCTCCAGGCTTAGGAGGAAGAATAGCTTCCAAGGGCTCTTCTACCATCCCTTTATGCTGTCACCTCTCTAATGTCCTTTCATTAGACATTCCTCCTTTATCCCTAAATGTGTCATCATTTCCTACCTGAATCATCACTGACTCTCAATTACACTTGACTCTATAAATTTTCCACATGATAAACATGGATGACAGAATTGGATTATTAAAATTGACCTTGAATACCACATACATTTCACAGTAAGTAAAACCAAAGTTCAAAAAAAAAGAATCTACATTTTTCAAAATTTTTTTATTTTATTTTTTTGATTTTTCGAGACAGGGTTTCTATGTGGCTTTGGAGGCTGTCCTGGGACTAGCTCTTGTAGACCAGGCTAGTCTCGAACTCACAGAGATCTACCTACCTCTGTCTCCCAAGTGCTGGAATTAAAGGCATGCACCACCACCACTTGGCTCTACTATTGTTTTTTAAATCACACAAATTACCAGGACAAGAAAAGAACTTTATGGAAACAGCAACACCTGACCCAAGACCTGTGGCTATATGTGAACTGAATTGTAGCTTTTCTGAGCTGCTAAAATACTGCTGCTTTTGGTAGATTTTCAGGTGATCAAATGCCTCTTGTTTTGCCCGTTTCTGAGATAGGGTCTCAGTATGTAGCCTAGAACTCAGTACTTAGACCAGCTGACCTTAAATCAAAGAGATTCTCTTACCTTGGCCTCCTGAGTGCTGGGGTTAAAGGTGTGTGCCACCACTGCCCACTGATGAAATGCTTTTAAGTTACAAAATCTACTGTGATGCTGTTGAGTGATTGGCGGTCTGACACAAGTGCACTTAGAGAGGACATCCAGTGGAGAGGAATGAGCTTTGCTAAGGCTTCCAACTGAGAAGCACAGGCCCATGACCCTGCACAGAGAAAAGATCTTTCTTTGGCAGAGGGGAACATATCTCTGTGCGAGGCCCAAGTAGGAGCCCTACCCAAGACTGGAAAACCATTAGGTTTGGCTTCAGTTAAGTGAAATAAACAAGCCTTGTCCCAAGTGAGAGCTAATTGTTCTCCTCTGCCTTTCAAAGTTATTAAGTTCTAAGCCAGAGTGAGTTGTTTTTCTTTGTCCAAGTCCAAATCAGAGCTGTCTTTAGGACCACCCCCCCTTGGCAAAGTGCATTGACACTGGGGAGGAGAGTGCTGACATTTACCAAGAGATGCTGAGCATGAGGTGTGATTGCATGTGTGGGCATGAGGTGTGATTGCACAGCCTCCCTTCCCCTCTGCCTGAAACCTATGCCAGCCAGGGCAGTTTGGGGATGGTAGTTTCTAGAACACTGGCTGCAGGTTTTCTTGGTTCTATGGTTTGGGGTGGTTGTTTCTGGAGCATGGGGCTGGCTGTAGGTTGTCTTAGTTCTAAAGTTCTTGACATTCAGGTCTTCTACAGACTTTTCAGCAAACTTTGTTCTCCATCACATCTCTAGAGAGCAAAGGCTCCAATTTAACAGCAGAACTTTCCATATCTTTCTTGGCAAGATGATCAGGGTCACACAGAATCATCTTGAGACAGTCTAGCACAGAACAAACCACTTGGTTCCATTCCAGGACACCTTAATTTAAGCCTGGCATTCTCAAATGAATATTCACTTGACATTTTTCTCCTTTTCCACACCAGTAACAGTTGGAAGAAAAATACAAAATCAGGATTTCTTTTCTCAAATTCAACCCTGTAATATGTCAAAGTAAATGCTGTTTCTCTTATCTACCTGGAAAATGAGTCAGCAACCAACACAAGCATGGCTGGTGGGATACGTCTTCAAAGAGGAAATGGTTGGTTACATACCTTCTAGGTATCATTTTTTTTTCTAAGCTGCCCTTTGAAATGCCATGAACAATAGGTGATTGTTAGATAAAATTTTGGCATTCAGTTTCTTCTAGGTATAAATTGCTGCAAATGAAGCAACAGAACTTAGTCACCAACATGCAAATAACAGAAGCACATAAAGAAATGGAGTCCTGGAGACTGACTGGTTCTTAAATAAATGGCTCACTAGAACTGAAGAAATGACCCAGTGGCTAACCCGTTCTGTACAAACATGAGGACTAGAGTTTGGGTGCCCAGAACACACAATATCTGGGCTGGAAGAGACAGAGGACCTCCAGAGCAAGCTGGTTAGCTAGCTAGCTAGACTCATCATACTGGTGAGATTTTCATTTGATTGAAAGAGGCTACCTCAAAAAAATAAAGTAGAAGATCCATGAAGGGTGATTCCCTTAGCCTTCACTCAAATGTGTCCGTTGTGCATGTACATATACAAAAAATGCATGCATGCATGCTCAAAATTGGCCATAATAATGGTAATAAATACATAATTTAAGTGTCTTACATTATGATTCTGTGAGCTCCCAAGTGTATAATTTTGTAACATGTCTGCTTAAAAAAAAATTCTCAGGCATTGTTCTGGAATGGGTGCAGGGGCACAGTGTCACTTGAAAGACTGTAATGTGGTGATAGCTTGCTTGTACAAATAAAGCCTGTCTGAAGGTTAGAGAATGGAGCTTGTCACTAGCTAACCATAGAGATCTGGAGGTCTGAAGAACTCCATTTACACTGTAGTTAATAATTTTTCATTCTGAGATTTTACGAAGTCATCTGATAAAAGGAGTCAAAATTTCAGATTCAAAATAACCAGAATTTTATGTTTGAGGATCACACCACAGGGCTCATTGTTCCCCTGGGTGTAATTTCTTGGCAGGAAACACTGGGTGGAGGGGTGTATTTATTTATACCTGCCTAGATTTTAGTTGTCAAGCTTTGTCACTCTTAAATTTATACAAATATGAATCATTTAGTTATTCTTTTAAAAATAAGAGCTGATTTGACACAGACAATTTGTATCAGAGAAGCTTAGATATTTGGAGTCATTCTAAATGATCACCAAGTTTGATAGCTAAATATAGAAAACAGCTCTGAGTAAACAGTGAGACTTGAGAAACAACTAAATTTTACGAAATAACAGCTATCCTATTTTATCTGCCCTCAAATAAGGTGGTTATAGTATTCTATTGACCATGTTAGAAGACTGAAAACTGAAAGCAAAACTGTTTTCGAATATCAAGAACCCCACTGATTATCTTAAAACTTTAATTTACAACAAATGCACATTTTAATAACTTGCCAAAAATTAATTCTAGTTTTTCAACTTTCATTTCACTTAAAAGATGCCATGTCTTAAAGCTAAGGATAACCAGCCTACAGGCCACAACCCCAGAGAAACTAGGTAATAAAGAGGACCCTAAGAGAGACATACATGGATCGGCCTAGGAAGGGAAAAAAGACAAAATCTCATGAGTAAATTCAAAGTGTGTGTGTGGGGGGGGCAGCAGGGAGGGTGGAATGGAACAGGGGAGGAGAGAAGGGAAGTGGGGAAAATGTATAGCTCAATAAAATAAAATTTTAATAAAAGATGCCATATCTTCGGTAACTGCAAACGGTTCTTGGGAAGTAAGTACGTCGAAGACCTCTACTTTCCAGTTTTGTTTTATAGTTTAGTTTGTAGCATTTCAGATGTGTTTACACCATCACTCTGACTAAAATGTACACGCTCACTGAAATACTTTAATACTGAGTTTACACCACGCCAAATGTTTGGAAATACATTAAGATATGACTCACATGATTTCTTCTGTAGTATGAGTCAAAGTGTGTTCCTTAAATAAAAATACAGACCGAAGAATTTGCTGTGACACATTCATCTTGTGAAGTATATGTATATGTTAGTCATGTCCCTAGTCTCAACACCAGAAGGATTCCAGTATACCTGAAGAATGGACTTGATATTTTGGATTTTGATTGTAAAATCTGACCTCAGATACAACTGAGAAAAAGCTTCCCTGACAAAAAAAATGCAGAGCATTCATTAGAATTAATTTTTTATTACTTCTTTTTGAGAAGGAAATTTCTGATCTTCTTCAGTAGCATCACCACAATAGACAACACAGAATAAATAACCGGACAACAGGACAAGGCTCCTAAGGGAAGGGTGAACCAAACTGGCATTAACCAAATCAGTGCAGCCCTCTCAGGGTGGCACAGTTGTGACTGGAGAGGACTCCCACATGCACAAACGTTACAGTAAAAGGGACCAATGACTTACAGCTTCATGGTCCAAATAAAGAGTCCATTAAGCAATCACAGGGCAGCGACTTGTCTGCCTCAATTGCTTCATCGCTTGCACGAACTGACTGCCTAGAGAATGAGTTTTCATTTGGCCTGACTGCACACTGCATTTATAACAGCAGTGGCATCGAAATTTAAAACAGGAGACAGTAACCATGTAGAGCTTTAAACAAATTTACAAAACCACATGCTTTGTCATTCAGCAGGAAGGCGTAAATCAACCAGGTCTTAGACACAGCTGGTTGTCCTTCAAAGGCCACATAACACGGGCTCTAGACAGCCTTCTGAAACCACCCCTGAAGGGTCTTGTCATTACATCTGCTGTCAAACCTTTGCTTTAGCAGGGCAGTTCATTTGGTTTATATGGCAGCTCTTTATGTTTCAACCAGGAACCACTTAAAGGCTTTTGCAGAGGCCCTCTCATGAAGCGTGTCCTCACAACTGTCCACAAAGGTCAGTCTGTTTGCTGGAACTGGACTGGGTAGAACAAGAAGTCCGTGAAGCTTCTTGCGTTCTCACTGAAGTCCGAAAACAGAGGACTGAACGCATTAGTCTCAGGACCGGTGGCCTAAGGATGGCAAAGACCCAAGGGTCAATTATAGAGTTGATTGATAAAAATCTAAGAGCTTGGAGGTCCAACTTTTCCTTTCGGGAAGAGGTTTCATTCATATAAGCAAAGATCTGAAAGAAACAGAGAGGAAATGATGTTAGTTCTACATTGTAAGCAAGCTGACTTAAATGTGTCACCTCTTGAGAGTTAGCCTTGTTTTGTGTGGTAGTGGCAATGGAAGGGTGGCTGCCAAAAATCTACATAAATCATAACAATCATTTTCCTGTGAACTTAATGAAAACAAGTACTCTAAGGGTTACAATTAACATTGGCATCACACAAAACTTTCTAGTCTTATCATTGGGAATGGAGGGAAATTAATCAACTTTTCTTGGCACCTAGAATAGAATCTGTTTTCCCTTCATATGGTCTCATTATACAGCCCAAATTGACCTCAACTACATGATCTGCTTATAACCTCTGAGGTAGGATTTCAGGTGTGAGTCACGGTGCTTTGCCAAATAGAATATTTTAATAACATCAGCAGTAATGATAATATTTGTAGCTCCAATTTATCAATAGCCCCAAATACATGTTGTGAAACACACCAGGTCATGAACCTGCTTTCTTCCTAGTCCTATGGAAACTGTAACAGATGAGGAAGTGAGTTTCAGGAATGTTAAGAATAACATGTTACACTTCCTTCCAAATATCTGGCCTGATGTGACCATCACGATTCATCAAGAGAGAGCAATGGAGCGAATCACCTGGAAAGCTTTGGCTTGAATTTAACTCTGTCTGTAAGTCTGGTATCTATCAGAGACAAGACACTGTGAGCCTGTAAGGGTGATATCACACCACCTACACAGGGTCCTGGGAAACAACACGTTAGCTTCTTCAATGGTGCTCCTGTAATACATGCTCTCCAAAGTAAGTGAGTTGTGACCTCATGTCACCAGTGAGAACACAGAGGTACTGAAGAGTGAGGTCACTTGCCAAAGACCTAAGGCTGCTTAGGCCTAGTAAGGGTACAAGTCCAAGACTTCTGGTGCTGGTATGGTGCTCGGTATGTGTTACCCCCCGGGCAGTATTACAGCAGGGGCCTTCAGGGTGATGTCCTAATCTCTGGGATGTGGACAGCTGCATTCTTATACTTGGATCAGCATTTTCAAACCAGTACTGCTGCTCTAATCTGACTCAGTGCAGCAGTTTGGTCAGATTGGCAGGGAACAGTACATACTTGGTATCTATACCTCGTAGTTCCAGCCTACAGAGAGGAGAAGATTGAATGTGGATCACACCTCATCATCTAACTAACACATAATTCTTAATTCTCCAGGGGTCCTCTGCCCTAGTCAATGACTTAGGGAAGCTATCCACTTCTTCCCTGACACTCTTTTCCCAAAATAACTCATTCCTTCCCTTTTTCCTGGTACTTAACTCTGCAGCATCTGGGAACTGGATGTACCAAACAAATTGTAGGGAGAGAGAAAAGCAGTCATGTTCGGGTTGCTTATGTTAGGACAATAGCGGGAAGGTTTGGCAGCCAGAGGTGTTTATGCCAGAGGATCTTGGCATGAGGAATGGAGAAAAGAGTTGGCAGATGAGTAAGGAAAAAGAAGAATTGATGGTGGGCTTGGGCTTTGCAGACCTTGGAGAGAAGAGTTAGGTAGGGTTATGCAATGGGGCAATAGTTTTCTAGTCTGCTACATTCCTCTGGATGCAAAATATTCAGTATGATGTGTTCAAGAGGTCAGCTCGGAGGCAGAAACTCAGTAATAGTGTACATAATTCGGATCAATTAAAATACATCACACACACACACACACACACACACACACACACACACACACTGTACGTGTAAGTAATAGCACTTTGTTGTAGAGTCATGGCTGTCTCTGATCTGGTTTAGTGGAGAACAATGCTGAGTTGGACATGCAAGGCAAGCAGTGTGGATAGGAATCAGCACCCTCATCACCAGCTCCACTCATGAAGATGAGTCAGGTTTTCAGTGCAGAACAACCTACGTCATAGTTGCTGATCTTGTAGAGTGTGCCAGGATAATGAGAAGTGAGTGCTGGTAATGCTGGAACAACTCTGTGCTGTTTCTTTTCCTTTTCATCCATTATGGTGGGTACATTTTAGAATTGGTTAAAATATGCATTTCAGAAGCTAGCTACTACTCTGTAGGAGAGGATGCAATTCTTTTACATTTAGAAGAGAGGTCAACTTCAGACACCCTTGATGCTCTTTATGTAGGATCCATCTTCTGCCCCCATCTCCCCTACAGTCCTTATCTTCTGACTGCAATACCACATTTGCTCTTCTGCATTATGGAGTCAATGCTTTTTGTTTTTTAGGTTGTGCTGAAATCCACATAACATGAAATGCAACATTATTTTTTAACACTTTCAAACTGCACAATTTAGTGGTACTAAGTGCATTTAACACTGCCATGTAACTTCTATAGTTATAATTTTTATACATCATGATATTTTATGATGTGAGTTTTTTTTTTCTTTATGGTTCTGGCACTTGAACGGAGGGCCTCACATATGCTTGGCAAACAAACCGAGCTACATTCTCAACCCTCTTATGAGGTTTAGATATCTAAAAGTCTCTAGTTGGGGAGAGACTGCCCCTCCTTGGGATGGCTAATTATTGCAACCAACAAAGGGCTCCAGGAAGAATATGTCTTTGCTGCACACATTACTAATCAGTCCTGACATACATTTCTTCTGTAGACCCCACAACTCATAGAAATGTTCTCCTTAAGGATCCAAGGTCCTGTTCCCAGGCAAATAAGGGCTGCCCTGTAGTTGATGGCCTGCCATAATTACCCAAGTTTGCCAATCCCAATCCTTTCGCCTTGACATGCCTTTCTTGCAGAAATCCCAATAAAGGCTGCAGCTCAGACTCTGCCATCCCTCTGCCTCTTCTTCATCCTGACCTGAGTACTGGCCCTGTCTGGATTTCTCATCAATTTCCTCTTGGAAATGCACTTGACTGATTTTAATGTGAAAAACAGTACCTATTACCACCACCTGCTTTGAAACTCCAAGTGTGGACCTCTATGCACTGGCACTTCCTCCCTCCCTATGGCTGATCCTCAGTTGTTAAAAAACAGCTGACCTGTGAGAGACACAGGTATTCATTAGTGATGCTTTGGTGATGTTCTAAAATTTAAATTCAGTGGTTTGTGGGAATGCATGTGCCTTCTGGAGTACACTACCAATATACTTGCTATGAGAAAAGTACCAGGTATTAGTCTAATGTGTCCAGTGAGTTAACTGCTTGACACCCCCTGCCCCAGGTTTGCAAAGACTACAGAGCTGTAATACTTATGGAATGACACAGATGGGAAACAGTTGGGAATCTGCTATTTCAGCCATGTCTGAGGCAGCCACCCATGGAAAGCTTCATCTTGGCAGTGGCCAGGGTTTATCATTTAACTATTCTCCTATCTTTAATGCCATACAAAGCGGTTTTAGAATTCTAGAGTGAATGAGCACTTCATTTGGCTCATCAATGAAATCCTTGGGGTGAGGGAGGGAGATTTAAAACATTCAGTTGCCTTGTTTCTTTGATGTATTCAGTCCTGGTTAAGGCATGGGCTTCCGGGAGTCTAATAACCTCCCCACAGGAGTGCAGACTCATTTCAGAGAGAAGGAAGCCAAGGTTTAAAAGACTAAGTTACTTTGCCTAAGGAGTCAAACTGCAGTGGTGGAGCTCCAACTTTGATGTCAGTCCCTAGGCAGGATCCTAACAGGTGTATGCAAACCTTTGACACAAAGCACCATATGAAATTCACAAGTGACTACCTGAACTGGAGATGCGCAGACACTTCTGTTTGAGGGTGTCATGATGGTCTGCAGCTGTCACTCTTCCGTTTAGAGATGGAAAAACTGTGGACACTTTACAAAGTTGCTCTTTGGCTCTCCCTGGGGCTTTCTTCACCAATACTGACCAACACTAACTTGAACACAGCACTTACTGTGTTCATCTGCCTTCTGAAAGATGTGGTGGTGTCCTAGCTATAGGCCTTGCACAATTAACTCCCAATTAGTTGTTTTTGTTGTTGTCGTGATGATGGTGGTGGTGGTGGTGGGCATGCTTAAAGAAATCCTTTCTCCCCAAACATGTCTGTGGTACAAAGAAACTGAAGCCCACTTTGCATTGACATGGCTCCAGCATGAGCACGGCCTTGGCATTGTGCATCTCAAGGACGTCAATGGCATCAGAGTGCTAAGTCTATAGCTCTGGGTTGATACGGTCCAGGACGGTGGCTCTGAGTATTCATCCACCCAGATGGCTTTGGAGTGATCAGTGTGGAAGGCTAGGAGGGGGCCATCCAGATCTCTGATAAGTAGACAGATAGGGAGAGGAGCCACAAACAAATAATAAAGTTGGCAAACTTCCAACTTTTTCTTCATATTCCTGACTGAAGACAAAGACCTTAAAGACCTGTCTTTTTCTCCCACTAATTGCCCCTCTCCCTGGTGGTCCCTCCCCCACTACCCTAGCCCCACTGGTGAACCAGCAAGACAAGTTCAAGGCTGGATCAGGGCACATTTACCTCAAACTTGTAGACCTATCATTCTCTCTGTCTTTGTCCAGACTGACCAACACTAAACTGGGGCAGGAAGACTCCTCACAGACCCTTAAGCCCAGCCTACCTTTCAGGAGAGGTGGGACTTCAGCTTCCCCAGCCCGCCTCTGCTGTGTATTTCTCTCTGTGTACCTGCTGTACATGTATTTCCTCTCCTCTAATAAATGCCTTTCTTCACCTGTTGACTCTGTCTGCTGTGTCCGAGACTTTTCCCTATTGCTATCTGTTACACTGGAGATCCTCCCTGCCTTTTAATTCCCTATCTGGCAGAGTAAACACACTCAGACAAGGCCCCAGACAGCAACACTCGTATTACCCATGGAGCAGAAGTCAACACCCCTTGTCACACTAAGTTTGAGCCTTCCCTAAATGCTCTTTTTTTTTTCTAGCTCTTCATATTACACACATATCCGAATCTCAGAGTGCATAGTCCTATTTTCAATTTAGGGAACAGTTTTAGGTAGCAAAATGCTGTCAGAGAGATGGAGTTTGGTGAACTCTAGTGATGTGGTGGAGGTGCAATAGACTTTGGTTCAAGATCTGGATGGGGACTGGTGGTCAGAAACCCAAAACAGGGGACAGAAGAGGCCAAGTGAACAGAGCATGTTATATATTAACTGAGAGTTAAGCCACTACCTGGAAAAAGATCTGTTGATTGCGTTCTTGAATCATGGTATCTATTTGTTTTTAAGTTCATTCTGTGATGGGCTGTTGATATTTGAAAGAAGAAGGAAGCGATCTTAAAAAGCTGTGATAATATGGGTTTTTGTTGTAGTTGTTTTGTAAAGCTGGGGTCCTGGCCTGAAGTAAGAGTGAAGATACAACTAGCTGAAAATGTAGATATAAAACTCTAATTCTCTGTTGGGAAAAACATGATTCTTCTTACAGATTGCATTTAAAAACCATCATAACTGTGCCTATATTTACAGTCACCACTGAAGAATAGCAAATCAGTAAAGCAGAAGATGTCAGATGAAAACACATATACACAGGAACGTTCTCTGAAAAGGAAATGTGTATTTAAATAGTCCCAACAATTGTCAAACACATCACTAATGATGTCTCAATGATAAAGGGCATTCCAGTTGTTCATGGACATCCACTTATATACCACCACATTAAGTTCTCTGTGGGCACCAAGAGATTTCTAGGTTTCTCTTTCATCGTTACCTGAATTTTTATAGTTTATATTCTTGTGACTGGCTAATTTCATTCCAGATTTTCACCACCTAGTTACATGACATTTTACACAAGAAAACCAATAACAAACTGGAAATACCAGGATTGTTTGCTTCATTTTTTCTATAGTGTAAAGATCAGATTTCCACTAATCAGATTTACTTAGAAATTCTAACCCTGGAGAATGTGTAAAGATGAAGATATTTCTAGAGTGAGCCAATGGTAGGCTCTTGAAATTTCAGGAGTGAATAAAATGGATAAACACTTTATCCTAATGGCATGTCAAAAACAGTTTAAAACAACCAGAAGCTAACCACAATTAGCAAAGTGCTGAGAAAGTGGCTGGATGTAGGTTGAAAATTGAGGCACAAACAGTATTTGAAACAAGAATGGGAGGCTTATATGTTTCCTGTGTTCTGTTCCATTTGGGGAAGAAAAACAGCTTCTATTTATCACCATGAAATGATGACAACAGCTGATTAACATAAGGAGGAATCTATTAATTTATACAATACTCATTTAGTGAATAAACAGTTTGGAATATGTTGTTGGTCTCATGCATGATTTCATATTGGACAGCCAAAGTAATGTCATTTCCTACACACCACTTGCATTTTTAATCACCAAAGAAATCAAAGGAAGGTTTTATGTGAGGGGCAATCTGATTATTTCTTAATTTAGAGTAGCATTTACACTAGCCAATCTCCTAAAATCTCAGTCCCAGGCTTGCATTTCACAGGACTGTGGAGAAGGAAAATGAAGCAACATGATTGTGCTAACATGGAAAACAAAACAAAACAAAACAAAACAGTGCTTACATGCTGTTTTATTATTTATTTATTTTTTTGTTTTTCAAGGCAGGGTTTCTCTGTGTAGCTTTGGAGACTGTCCTGGAACTGGCTCTTGTAGATCCATCTGCCTCTGCCTCACGAGCGCTGGGATTAAAGGCATGTGCCACCACCACCCGGCCATGCTGTTTCATTTTTAAAGCTAGTAAGTGGGCATGAAGAGACAAGGTGGTCCGAATATTTATAATACTCTCACAATTCTTTGGAAAACCATAATTGGATCTTCTCCCATGTTACTCTTGGAATGAGGACATTTCTTTCAGACATTATTGCTATTCATACATAATGGTCTCAGTGCTTCAGCACTTTCCATGCTGGCTCTACCACCCCCTAGCTGCAGGCTCAGGACAAAGTTACTTGACTCATCTGCACAACTGGATACATCTTGGAGGTTACTATGAAAATAATGATTTGCTGTAAAAATTAACACTCAGAACCCTAAGTCTTTTGGGTGTCACCACAACGATACATCAGGCTGAATTGACTCCATCTCATTGTGTTGGGCATTCTCTCACCCCCCTAATTTTGAGAGTTTTATTTCCTGAACGTTGGAGGCCCTAGACTGACAGATATCCTAGAAGGAAGGATTCCTCTCTGCTCATAACCTGGGATGATGGCTGGCATTAGCAGTTCATTACTAATTCTGGATTTCCTAAGTCCCATCTTCCTCCACAGCCAGAGAGCTGCAGAAATGACTGGGGTCTCACCAGCTCTGGCCATTAATGCTACTCCTTGCTGCTAGAGATCTGACACACTTTTGAAAAACATAGAAAACCGTTCTTGCTATTCTGAGAAAAAAAAAAAAAAAGGAAATGGCCTCAAACAAAAAACACTCTTCCCATAAAGCTAAACATAGGAGCCATGTTGGTTTCTAAATCACAACATTCCACAACACAAAGTCTATTGCTGGGTGCCCAGGGAAATGCCATCTTCCACAGCCTAATTCATTATTTAAGAGGGCACCCTGACCAGCTCTATCTCATTCCCCACTAAGTATAACTTACCAATTCAGACCATGTTCTCCCATGACAGAGGAGAGGTATAAATGTGAGGGTAATGGGGAGCAGAGCAAAGATAACATGGCCTAGAAGGGGGAGTTCCTTGGGGGCGGGATTCATATCTGAATCTCTTGCTGTCCTTGAGGATGTGTAGAAGACACCAATCAGAAGCACTGATGAGGGCAGAAGACAGGAAAGAGCTGTTTCTGCAGCTTCTACAAGTGAGAGCTTCCATTAGCCAGCATCCATGTCATCCTTTTCCAAATCTCCAGTTTACAGCTTTCTGTGAGAGGCCAGAAGGCCCCAACTTTGACTCTGCTTCCACATTAGACTTTAGGAGCTCAGGGTCTATTTTAGAACTACTTTATTCAGAGCTAATGGTCCCTCTAACTGGGCAGCACTCACGCTTCTACCCTGGCCCTGCCTCGTTTCTCAGGCAGCCTTCCCTGCTTCCCTGAGATATACCAGCTGTTACTATACATATCTTCCTGCTCACAAAGGGAACAGCTACAGAACGGAGAGCGTCTTTGTGTATTCCTGGCAGTGACATCAAGAGATATTTTATAAGAGGTTACAAGTGTCTCCTGTGAGAGATGACAAAAACAGCACGCGACAGTTGGTCCTTTCCTCTCGTTTTCACGACCACACAGACTTGTACTCTAATATGTAAACCGGTGAGCCTGTCAACTACATTTTTAAATTTAAAGTCAAATGAAAGAGACCGTAAAACTTCTACACCCAGAACCCCCTGAATGCTGTGGGTCAGCATGTACATTTTGGCCAGGAGAAATGAAAGCACCAGGGGACAGGGGCTTTAAGGCCAGCAAACTGGACTCCATGGAGAAAGTTCCTGTAGAGCATAGAAGAAGTGCTAACTTAGCAACGTTCATTAGCAAAGGCTGGGGGCGGAAGGAAGTGAGTAAAGGTGAAAAGGAAAAGCAGCGAAAGCAACAGACCTTTATAAGCTAGGGCATTTTTTTCTTCAAGTTGCCAATATGTGCCCGGACGTGGAAAGGGTGGGGTGAAAGGAGTTTGAGAAAGCTGCATGTGGCTGGGCTGTGGAAAGAAACGAGTGACTTACTGTGAAAGGCAAGGAGCAGATGGCGAAGGTGATGGTCATAATGGCCAGGAGAATGAGGTGGTCCGCCTCCTCTGCCATCGAAGTCCTTTCTCCTCTCCTGCGTGACCCAGGACCCCCCGGGCCACCGCTGGATGATCCACAGCGGCTTCTTTTGCTCCGACGGTGCATACGGACGAGATTAAGGATGACGCTGAAGTTGCAGGCGAGCACCGCCAAGATGAGCAGCAACAGCACCGTGGCGTACAGCTGCAGGTATGCAGTCCGCCCGTGCCGGATAAAGCACCACGTCCCGGGACAGTATTGGACGTACTCCCCGTAGTTGAGCAGCGGCAGGGAACAGAAGAGCAAGGAGACCGCGTAGATGGCGGGCAGTACCGCCAGGCCCCCGCGACGCGAGAAACGACGTCGGTAGAAGTAAGGGTGCCCGATGGAGAGGTAGCGCTCCAGGGCCATGGCGAAGAGCATGAGCATCGTGGCCAGACTGAAGAAGGTCATAGTGAAGGCGAAATAGGTACAAACGCGGCTTTTGGGAGCCAGGGCCACCAGGGTCTGGTTCCGCGCATAGGAAGCTAGCACCACGGGGCTGATGAGGCAGGTCCCAAGCAGGTCGGTGAGCACCAGCTCTGTCACTAGCACGTGGAACAAGGAGATGGAGGTTCTGCTGCCCGCACTGCATCCCGTGTCCCCGCGCCAACGGCGCGCTAGCAGCGCCAGCGCGATAAGGTTCCCCACAACCCCAGCCGAGAACATCACCGAGCTGATAGCTGGACTTTCGCCCGAGGGAAGCCACTGACGACTCTCGCAGTCCTCCACTCGCACGGAGTCATTGGAGGCATTGTGCATGGTGTAGGGCTTGGAAGAAGAGATGCGCTCTCCTCTAGGCTGGTACCTTGACAGCAGGAGGGTCTGAAGGTCACAGCGCTCCCAGACACAGAAGGGGAAAGCAGAGGGACCGAAATCCAGAGCTCCCTTCCGGCCCCCAGCTCGCTCCAAGTTCCAAGGGTAGCCTCGCTCGGGTCTACCGCCTGCGCGCCCAGTGGCCACTTCCCTGAAGCTTCGGGTCACCCTCGAGGCTTCTGTGCCTCACGGGCTCTAGCTCTAGCTGCTGGCCCGAGCTTAGAGGAGCAGCACCCCCGCCCCCCTGCCACCGCCCGCACCGTCCGGGAGGCGGGTCCAGTAGTTGCTTCCAGGCTAGCAGCTTCCATTGTCTGGGAGCTGTAGAGACACACTAGCTGTGATCCAGAAGAGGGCCCCAGCATCCACCCTGTGACAGGCTGGCCTGTAGGGTCTTCATTCCCGCGGGGTACCCAGGATGGAAGTTGCAGGACTGTCTTACTTCAGCTCCGAAGCCTTTAACCCTTGCAGGGTAGTAAGGCGGCTGCGGGTAAGTGGAAAACAAACCAACTCACCAAACTGAATTTGGGAGGACCTAGTCCTGTGAGATGTGGAGAACAGAGGAACTAAGACTTCAAGACAACTTGAAGTAAGAACAATATGATAGAGGTTGTGGTTTTTCTTTTCTTTCTTTTTTTAACATTCCCAAGAAGACATTCAACAAGGGTGAAACAAAAACCGGAAGGAAGTGAAAGCAAGCCTGTCCATCCAAGGAATGGGACCATGTACACACCGAGAGCCGCCTGATGTACAGTTAGTTGCTTTGATTCAGTTACGAGCATTTCATTTTTTCCTATGTCAACACTAACACATGACCACTTGCTCAAACAACCTAAACAAAACAAAACAGGAACGGTTCTTGTAATAGTCTAGAGTCATGCTTGTGGCCACAGATCGAAAACAACTGCTCTTTAATGTTGTCTACTCAAGCTCAATCTTGAAGAAACTGTTGATAGGTTGTTTAGGCGTTCATTCATCTTTTCACAGTCAGTTAACCATAAGGGTCTATTGGAAAGACTCATTCCTGGGAGTGTGCTGGTAATTGCCCACTTTCACAATGGAGCAGACAGAAATAGTTGCTTGGCATCTGTTGTCATAGTGACAGAGGAGTGAAAATGCATGGATGTTTTGAAATTTTCAAATTCAGCTTGACAGACAATGTAGGCAATTATAGGCTACTTGGAAAAGCATATTTCACGTGGGAAAAGAGACTGCTTTGAGAAAGGTTTGCACAGGAGCCTGGTAAAAAGAAAAAGCAAAGGAAACATTACTTGCAGAGCACATCTTGCTTCCGTGATTCAGCTCACCATGATTCTGGCTTGGGGACTGGAGGACAGAGAGAGGGTTTTCTAACAAAGTAAGGCAAGAAGATTTTTAATTTTTTTTTTTTTTTGGTTTTTCATTTTACATACCAGCCAAAGTTCAGTTCCCCCTCCTCTGTCCCCTTCCACCTCCTATCCACCCTCCTATCCACTCGTCAGAGAGGGTGTGGCCTCCCATGGGGAGTCAATTAAGCCTGGCATATCCAGTTGAGGTAGGACCAAGTCCCTCCCCTCTGCATCAAGGCTGAGCAAGGTATCCCACCATAGGGAATGGGCTCCAAAAAGCCAGTTCATGCATCAGGGATAAATCCTAGTCCCACTGCCAGGAGTTTCACAAACAGATCAAGCCACACAACTATCACCCACCCATGCAGGTTCCCCAGCTGTCAGTCTAGAGGCCAGGAGCTTCCACTAGCTCAGGTCAGCTGTCCCTGTTGGTTTCCCCATCATGATCTTGATCCCCCTTGCTCATATAAATCCTTCACCCTCTCTTCAACTGGATTCTAGGAGCTTGGTCCAGTGCTTGGCTGTGGATCTCTGCGTTTGCTTTTATCAGTTACTGGATGAAGGCTCTCTGATGACAATTAGTCTAGTCACCAGTCTGATTACAGGAGAAGGCCAGTTCAGTTCTTTTATTCACCACTATTGCTAGGAGTCTTAGCTGGGGTCATCCTTGTGGATTCCTGGAAGTTTCCCTAGAACCAAGTTTCTCTCTAATCCCATAATGGCTCTCTCTATCAAGATGTCTCTTTCATCAGGCAAGCAAAACTTAGTTGCAAACCCTACAGACTCATTTTTGCACAGAAGCAGCTATTCACTCCATTGCTAAACTTCATAGGGCATGGAGGGAGTGGGTGTCAAAACTCCACTAGTTTTCTTTCAGGCTGTAAACTGCAGGCTAGTGGTACCCTCAACCCAGTCACCCAAAATGGACTATTCCGCATCTCAATCTTGTCCCAAGCAGTTGGGCAAATGAGAAGAATCAACATGATTCTGCTGCAGTGTTTTTCACTGTGTTTATTTTCCAAATGCTTTTTACATACTTTCTGTTTTCATAATCTGTTTGTAACCAAAGCCTCTTGTTGCACTATTTCTGTATATTTGCCTATAGGTTTTCACTAGATAAGTACATGGTGGCAGGACTTGGATGAGTTTAGTGGATGCCAGAGAACAACTGGAGATCCTAATCCCACACTTTGCCTGTAACTTGCTAGTCTCCACCCCTACTCGGTTGTATACTGTGAAAAGATTCTCACAGAGGTATGTGGACAATCTAGTTTCTGATGACCAAGCTCTGTTCACATCCTTTCCTAAAGAAAGCCCCCAGACCCTAAGGTATGCACCCATGCATGTGGGGCAGCCTTGGGTAAACCTGGGGGAAGAAACCAGTAGGAATCTGGGAAATGAGGTTAATACAAACATTTGAGCAGGAAATTCCCTGATCTCAGGTGCAATGGAGTTTTTCTACAGTACAGATGGCTTTGCTCTCACTGAGTAATCCTTACTTATGGGCAGATTTGTCACAAAAAGACCAGAGCTGGGTCTTCTAATTCTTGGGAGCTCATATCTTACCAGTTAACCCTACTGGACTGCATGCTTTCAGTTGCTACATACTCAAGTTACCATTTTTGCTTGTTTGTTTCATTCCAGTACTGGACAGAGAGAGGTAGCAGTTCAACTGTGTTTATGTGTTTCAGAAGTCTGGCCAGATGGTTAATTTGCCATCCCTATTTCCTGATCTAGGTCAGATTGGTTCCAGTAAATAGAAGTCTTAACTTGTAGTTAAAAGTGACTTCTTCCTGTCTCTGACTGTCATGTCAGCATCTCAGTTCTATGGCAGTTTATCCAGAGTAGAGAATTTCTTAACAGAAAACACACTAGTGCCCTTACTTCTAGAATTGAGCCACAAAGCTTTGTTAATTTTCAGTTCCTGTTTATGAGGGCATTGTATTTGGGGAACATGTGATTAGTAATTTTGTGTTAACTTGACCAAACATGAGGTGCCCAGGAGCTGATTAAACAGTCTGACCACATCTGGAAGGGTGTTCTAAGAATTTAATAACCACACCTGTGGACTGATGAGCGCAGATATCTGCTCCAGTGAGGGTGGGCCTCATCTGGTCTGTTCGTGGATGAACAGAACTAGAAACATAGAGGAAGGTTGATTCCCAGCTTGATCTGGGGCATTGATCTGCCTTTGCATTCCTGATTCTCAGGCCTTCAGGCTGACTAGAATCTGAAACCCCCACTCTTCAGTTTTGAGACTTCTAGCTATAACATCAGCTTTACAAATAGACACACATAGAGAGAGAGCTATGTGTAAGATAATGGCTGGGGTACAGTCTGAGAAGGTTGTTGCTAGGCAGGTTTGCAGTTTAAGTGTGATGTACACTACTGACAAAAAAAACATGTATCATGTGATTGTTTATCTACAAATACACAGAGAGACACAAAACTATTTGTTCTATTTCTTTGAAGAACTCTGACTAATACATATTACTTGAAATCTAAAATTTATGTTTTTCCTTTACATATCTGTAACTCAAGGGCAAGAAACTTTCTGTTGGTCATTCCTCAAAAGATGCAAAGATAAACATGAAGGAAAAGGAGAACTACACGATCTACATGAAGAAAGCTAACATCAATGCTTCCGTGGTTCTATTTGTATTACCTACATCTTCATGATTTCTTTGCGTGTCTAAATAATTTTTTAAAGAGAATTCTAAGAACACCATCTGTGACCCCCAGACAAATGTCACATTACTTCCTTCTAGCAAACAGAAGTCACTGAAAAATGGAGAGATAGGATTTAATGGATGTTTTGGTGACAGTCCGTGGAGGATCTGTTTTCTTGCATGTGAAGTTTCTAGGCTGCCTGCTGGTGGATGCTTCCTGCCTCCACCCCTGTCATTCCCATACTTTGGACTGGTGTAGCCAGGCTCTTCCCCTTGAAGGGAAGACCACAATGTTTGTCACTATATTTGGTTCTTGCTTTGAGCCTAAACCTCATTAAGGACCAGCTCGAATGGCAGCCAGAGTGGAACTCTGGTTGTAGAGGAGAGAAAGGACAGATCAGGACTATGAAGATAAACTAGAACCCATGAAGGACTGAAGCCTTTGAGGATAAATTGGATCTGCATTTGTCTTTACTACCTCCAGCCTTAGTGGCATTAGTATCCCACAGAAAAGCTTGATGATCTAAAAGTGTGTTTGGCTTCAGACTTAAAGAAACCATTGGTGGAGACTAAGAAGTTTCAGGTCCAGGTGATGTCCTATTAAGCAAGAACAGGGGGAGTGTGTGAAAGCTATTAACAAGTCCAGGGCCTTGCATTTTTTTTCTTTAGAACAGGGACACCATAATTTCTTTGCCGCTTTTCAGACTACATGTAACATGTCACTTATGATCAGCACTAGCTTGAGACTGTGCAAGGATTCTGGATGACATTTTCCGCTTGACTTGGATGATGCATGCAAAGTTACCATACAACTCCCCCAAGGGTGAAAGCATTCCATCTGCAGTGAAGGCGGGGCTAAAGGAAAGACAATGTCAGGACATGCTTCCCCCTTCCTTATCTGCTTTCTCATTAGAAAAGCAAAAGGCTTTCCAGGAACATTGAAACAGGCAAA